TTAATTAAAATAGTCTATTGACAAATTAGGTGTTAGTTGAAAGCTTGAACCCATTTGGCATTTTTATGGGGTCATGAATGGAACGGGTCGGCCTTACGGACTGGGTTTATTTAAAAAAAATTAAAACCATATTCCACCCTTAAATCCAAATCTTATGAGCCAAAATCAAACTGAATCGGGTTACACATTTTTTTATTAGACTTATATTATTAAGTTTTATACATTTTTATTTTATTTTATTTAATAATTCATCTTATCAAATTAATTAATACTATTAAAACAATCAAATTAAAGTATAAATTCACAAAATTAACAGATTATGACAATGTTATATGTAAAAAGTTGAGAGTTAGAAAGATATCACCGGTCACTATCAAATTCAATTTTAACAAATTGTATTTTGTGTATTTTTTTTTTAAAATTACAATTTACAAGGATAATATTGTATATCAAGTGTTTTTTTTTTAAAAAAATTTTTAAATGGAACGATATTAATTTTAAGGGATTAAAATTAAATTTAACAGTGGAATATTTTTTTAGATAACATTAATTTTTTTTGAACCGAATAGTTTGAGTCGGGTTAATGGGATAGTTGAGGTTGATTTACCATGCGGGCTTGTGTGGGCAAAATTCTTGAGAAGACTTGGGTTTCAAATCTTTATCCAAAACTCTAAATAATTTTCTCTAGGATGGAAGGAGTCATAAAATGATTTGGATGAATTACACAATATCGATTTTTTTTTTTTTTGTTCACAGACCATTTAATGACCCCATAGACTGGCTATGGAGTCAATTACACCTCCCTTGACCCCATTTGGCATTTTTATGAAGTCATTTAGGAGTATAAAAATGGCCCGCAACCTGTGGATGGCCCGAAGCCCGGGGTGGGCTCGGTGCATTTAGGTTCGAGCTCAAGTCCAACTCTAGACCCTAGGCTAGGGCCATCATTTTGAAGCCCGTCCTGATCCGTGGGCTTGCTCCTGCCCATCGGCCCGCTCAAGATCCACTCAAAAGCCCAGCCTGAGGCCCAACCCGCTCAAAAGCCCGGCTTGAGGCCCGGCTCGCTCAAGGTCCAGTATTTTTTTTTAGTGAAAAATAATAAAATTTTGGTAGAAAAAATTAAAAAAAAAAAAATTCTTTAGGCCCGCCTAAGCCCGAGCCCAGGCCCACCAACCTGGCCCACTCAAGACCTGAATACCCCTTGGGCTGGGCTTGGGTCTAAGTTTTTGGCCTGTGGATCAGCCCGACCCTATTTTTGGTGGTACCCCACGAGGCCCGACATGGGCTGGGCCGGGCCGGGCTAGGCTAAATTTACACTCCTAAAGTCATTGAAATGAATTATAGGCCAGGGCTCCTTGCTATGCGAGTCTTGACTTAACAGAGTTTATCTTGGGAAGTCGGGATAACTTCCCAGATTATACTCTCATAACTCAAAAAGGACAACATGACATATTAGTGATTTTTGCAAGAGGTGCTGCCTTGAACTTGCGAGAGAGTAAGGTAATTTTCCAGTAAAAAAAAAAAAGAAAAAAAATAAATTACACGCCATGGCTCTCCTTCCAAGTTTCTCCCCATAGCTTTCTTGTGCTAGCCGTTGTCATTGAAGTTTTAGGGGTTGTTTGGGATGCCCAAAATAAGTGCACTTTTTGTCTTTTTAGACTAAAAAATTGAGGAAAAAAATATGGATATTTGAGTTAACTTTTTGACTTTTTATGAAAAAATGTGTATTAAAAAATTGTATAGATTAGTGTGTAGAAGAAGGGAAAAATTAGAATTAGGAATTATGCAGCCGTAATTTTTAACTTTTGATAAATAGTGATAACTTTTTAACTTTTTGAATAATTTTTTTACTTTTTAACTTTTTGACAACTTATCAAACTTGGCCTTAATTGAAAAGGTGGTTTGGTGGTGACCAGTCTTGCATAATTTTCCTAGCCCTTTATTTTCTCAAACTTTTGCTTGTCTTCTTTTTTAGGTACATAACTTTTGCTTTTCTTCGTTTTTTAGGTACATGACTTTTCCTTGTCTTCAAGTACAATAATTTAGGATTTGGGGTAACTGCTATTAATATGGTTATTGTAACATTATTATTTTTAATGATAAAAAGGCAATTTTTTAGTATCATATTAAAAAATTATTTCCAACCGTTAGATCTAGATAAGGGGAACAAATAACATTTAGGAAAAAATGCAACTTGAATAGTAAAGAATAAAATTGGATATAAAAATGAAATAATTTTATCAAAAAATTAAATCACTTTTGTAATTTTATTTATCATTGATAGTAATTCAACTTACAATTGGACAATATTTATTAAGAGATCAAATTTTGCTAATCGCACAATGTGATCATCAATTAAACAGTGATGATGAAACACAATATATTGAATTATCTACCAACACATCTAAAAGTTCTCATACTAGTATACGATATTGAATTATTAATTACTAATCAGCTTGTTTGGTTTTACTTTTCAAAAAATAGTTTTCAGAATTTTTTTTTATTTTTTGTATTTTAATATTTTCATTGAATTTTTTAAAATATTTTAACCAATATGTTTTTTAATTTTTAGACACATCTAACATAAATACTCTTAAAAAGTATAATATCTGTGAAAAAATCTTTAAAAAATACACTAAATACCAAAAAATACAAACAAAAAAAAAAGAAAATTAAATACTTTTTTTTGTGTTTTTGTGTATTTTAAAATTTTTTAAATATTTTTTCACAAATATTTTATTATTTAGATACATCTAAGTGAGGTGCATCTAAAAAAGTAAAAACAGTTACTTAAAATTTAAAAATAATTCACTAAAAACAAAAAATACGAAAAATAAAAAACACAATTTCAGAAAATTGAATCCAGAACATTGAAACCAAACATACTGAATACATCTAAAAGTTTTGTATCCCTAGCATTACCCTTTAAATTATTAGAAATAGAGAAGCTCTATATTACAAATGTGGTTTGTATTATATGTCCCAATTATGATATTTGAGATTTTTGGTTATGACCTATTTTGGTGTTAGTTATATTTTAATTATGATTCATTGTGATGTTAATTATGATCTATTGTGATTATTATTTTAGTTATAATCGAAAACATTTTTGGTTATGTGTGTTTGGTTATGACTTATTATTTTTTTAGTTATCACTAAAAAAGATTTAGTTATGACATTTGTGATACTCAATATCACAAATGTCATAACTTGTATATGGTATAGATCTCGAAAAAGATATATATGTATAATAGCATGACCACTTTATTATATATATATATATATATATATATGAGGAGGAATAGATTGGAGGGCGTTGTTTGGGCTATTGGATTCCACTATGGGTTCTGTTTTAATGATATGAGTTGTACATTTTGTCGATCACTTTGTGTACTTCATCCATGCAAAAAATTAGGTCGGAATTATTTAATTTATCATGTTTGTCACTATAAAAATTGATGATTTATTTTTTAAAATACCATTGTTGTCTATTTTTTGTTTTTAAATTTTTTTGTGACAAATACAATAAATTAAATATGCTACAATTAACAGGTCGACTTAATTTTTTTGTGATTGAAATACATAAAATGCCTTACAAAATGAACAGTTCGGATCATCAAAATGGGACCCGTGATGGGAATCATGGGCCCAAATAGTGCCCTCCAATCCAAAATTTGGACCAGAAGGCATTCTCCGTTATATATATATATTATTTTTGGGTTTGGCTTCTCTCAAGTTGATCATCTTAACTTGAAAAAGCATTTGGGTTTTGTTAGGCCTATTTTAGGTCCTATTTCAGTGAGTAAGTCATTTATATTTTAGGACTCGTTGAGTAAAATATTTATATAAAAAATCAAAATAAATAGACATTAGTAGTTATATATATGAATAAAAATGACTGCTCTTAAAATTACATTTGTAGTCATTTTTTTAAAATAAATATGATTCAAACATATATAGCTACAATATCTAATCATTTTGATTTTATGTATAAAAATTTTACTCAATGAATTGTAAAAAAGCAAACGATTCACAAATCACCAAAATTGATAAAAAAAAAAAAAAAATAGACTTATCCAACCAAAACGTTCTATCAAATTGAAGTGTTAATTTATGAGAAGTGAAACCTTATTTTTGACATTATAAATAACCCACAAGACGTCACGTGGCCAATGCTAAGCCACAAAAGCATAGAAGAGAGCAATAATATTTGATGAATTTCAATAAAAGAATAAAATCTGTATTGAATTCTCCGAGTCTTTACAATGATACATCCCTCAGATATATACACTACCATAACCAGCTAACCTGACTATAGTTCTAACTAATTCTAAACTCAATACAATCCAACTATAGTTAGTTATTGATGAATAGATTACATGGAAAACTCTATATATAATGTATGGATATGACTATGAGCGTACATTTTCACAAGCTTAAGCTTAAGCATTCTCTCTGTCTCTCTGTCTCTCTCTCAATCATGTCCGTGAGGTGGCTGTACAATGCTTCTCTTATAGGAGCTCTGGCACTGTTAGTGCACTTATGCATGGTTGATTTGGCCATTTGTTCCTCGAACTTCACAGACCAATTAGCTCTCCTCAGCTTCAAATCATCCATCAAAAATGATCCCAACAATGTGTTGAGTAACTGGACAAAAGAAACCAATTTTTGTGGCTGGGCGGGGGTCTTATGCAGCCGACGTAGGCAAAGAGTCACAGGCTTGCTCCTTGGCAACATGAATCTCGGAGGCACCATATCTCCTCATGTCGGTAATCTTTCTTTCCTCCAACTACTCGATCTTGGCAACAATAGCTTCTACGGTCATCTAACAGATGAAATAGGCCATTTGCGTCGCCTAAAAACCCTTCGTTTATTTTTTAATATGTTAGAAGGAAACATCCCACTGGGTTTACACCACTGTCAAAAGCTTGAAGTGATATCTCTTGCAAGTAATAAATTTAGTGGTACAAATTCGAAAGAGTTGAGCACCTTACCACCATATCTCCTCATGTTGGTAATCTTTCTTTCCTTCAACTACTCGATCTTGGCAACAATAGCTTCTACGGTCATCTAACAGATGAAATAGGCCATTTGCGTCGCCTAAAAACCCTTCGTTTATTTTTTAATATGTTAGAAGGAAACATCCCACTGAGTTTACACCACTGTCAAAAGCTTGAAGTGATATCTCTTGCAAGTAATAAATTTAGTGGTACAATTTCGAAAGAGTTGAGCACCTTACCCTCTCTACGTTTCCTTGCTCTCGGAGGAAATGAACTTATAGGTACTATTCCACCTTCCTTTGGCAACATTTCAAGCTTGGAAGTGTTTGGGCTAGAACATAATCACATTTATGGAAACGTTCCAACTGAATTGGCACAACTTCCAAATTTGAAGTTAATTTACCTTTCATTCAATTATCTCACAGGTCCAATGCCTCCTGCAATTTTTAACAAGTCTTCAATGGTTCGAATTGGCTTGAGTTCTAATGCCTTTTCTGGAAACCTTCCAACAAATAATGACTTTTTCCTTCCTAATCTTGAATTCCTCTTTTTGGATGAAAATCAACTAACTGGAAACATCCCTTCATCTCTCTCCAATTCTTCTATGCTCACTATGCTAACGCTAGCGACCAACTTGTTTACTGGACCAGTACCAAAACATTTAGGCAGTCTAAAACACCTAGAAGTTTTGCATTTATTTCAAAATCAACTGACAAACGAACCAGGAAGTATTGAACGTAGTTTTCTCACAGATTTGACAAATTGTACTTCCTTGGTGGACTTGTATGTGGGACAAAATAAATTGAGTGGCACCCTACCCAATTCTATTGGAAATCTTTCAAACTCTTTGCAAGAACTTGATGTATCTGAAAACCAACTAATTGGTACAATTCCTAAAGAGATTGGTTCTTTGAGGAATTTGACTCTACTTTCATTGGCTGTCAATAATCTGAATGGAAACATCCCCTCCACTCTTGGAGAAATTAAAAGCTTGCAAAGGTTGTATCTTGGTGGTAACAACTTTCATGGATTAATTCCAAATGAGATTTGCCGATTGAGCAACTTAGGGGAACTTTATGCAGGGCAAAATAAGTTATCTGGATCAATCCCAAGTTGCATTGAAAATCTCAGAGGTTTGCAGGTGATGAAGCTTCATCACAATAAATTGACCTTTATACCGTCGAGTTTATGGAACCTTGAAACTTTAAGGCTCTTGAATCTTTCGTTCAATTCATTAGGTGGAAGCCTAGATCCAAACATAAGGGCATCGAGAGTGTTGGAAATCATGGATTTATCTTGGAATCAAATCTCAGGAAGCATTCCGAGAGTTATTGGGTCATTTCAAAGCCTAACTTCTTTGAACTTGTCTAGGAATTCATTCTCGGGACCCATTCCCAACACAATGGGCAATTTGATAACATTGGATTACTTGGATCTTTCACACAATAATCTATCTGGACAGATACCTAAGTCTCTTGAGAAACTTTTACATATCCAATACATGAATTTCTCTTGCAATAAGTTGACTGGGGAGATTCCAAATGAAGGGCCGTTCATGAACCTCACATCACGGTCTTTCAGGGAGAATGAAGCACTTTGTGGGAATCCTATTTTTAAAGTGCCACCATGTGCAAGCAATAGTTCTAAGAAGTCGATGATTAAAATTAATCTTCGATACATTCTTCCTGTCATTGCATTGATGCTAATCTTTTCTATTGGTGTGTTTATTGTGAAAAGAAATCATGGAAACAATGTCCAAAGTCAAAATCTGATAGATTTATATGCAACAACGGAGCACAGAATGATTTCACATCTAGAGCTTCGACGAGCCACAGATGACTTTTGCGAAGCCAACTTGCTTGGAGTAGGAAGCTATGGCTCGGTATACAAAGGTGTACTTTCAGATGGGACAATTGTTGCCGTTAAAGTTTTAAATTTGCAACTTGAAGGAGCTTTCAGAAGTTTTGATATAGAATGTAAAGTGTTGCGAACAACTCGACATAGAAATCTCGTTGGAGTTATAACGACATGCTCTAATCCTGAGTTAAGAGCATTGGTTTTGCAATACATGTCTAATGGAAGCCTTGAAATGTGGTTATATTCTCATAACTCCTGCCTTAATCTCCTTCAAAGGATTGACATCATGATTGATGCAGCATTAGCTGTGGAATATCTCCATTATGGTCAATTAGAGCCTGTGGTTCATTGTGATTTGAAGCCGAGCAATGTCCTTCTAGATGAAGACATGGTTGCACATGTTGCTGACTTCGGCATTGCAAAAATTTTAGCTGAAAACAAGACTGCAATACAAACCAGGACTTTAGGTACCATCGGTTATATTGCTCCAGGTAATGTTTTAATTACCTTTATTTACTTTATATTTCTCATTTGATAGACTTGTTACAAATCAATTTTCTATGTATTTATTATTAATTTGTTTGACATGCATGTCTTGAATGTAAATTTTATGTTTTAAGTTTGTCGAATAAGATATACCATAGATGGCTTTTGTTAACAAAAATGTTAGAGATCTCAAAAATTTTACCAAATGTCTCACATGGGTGTGGGACCCATATGAGATTCACTTTGTGTGAGTCTCACACCCATGCGAGACGTTTGGTAGAACTTTTGGTAGAATTTTTCACATCTCTAGCATTACTCTTTGTTAATTGTCAATATATATTGCTTTAATCAAGAACATAATGGCAAGTTGAGATAGGCTCAGGCTTTTCAATGCAACTTTAAAGTTGAACCACATGCCTAATATTGACACTAATTACTTGATTAATTAGATTAGTAGGTTAAATGATTATTAAAAAGAAAATATGAGGCAATGAATCATTTTAGAATAAACTACACTAGGTTCCTAAATAGATGTTATGTTATGTGATTTTTGTCATCTGAGTTTTAATTTTGTCAATTTTATTTCCGAAGTTTTGAATTTGAAACAAATTGGTTTAATTTCAAAGGAATTGTTTAAATCATCAAACTAATAATAATATTAACTACAATTATAATCCTGGAAGAGTGTGGGTGTTACTTTATCTTCCAAAGTCCTCAATTTTGTTGCTTTGGTCTCTAAAGTCTAATTAAGGAGACAAAGTATAGCCTTACAATGTTATGTATAAAATTGCTAAATTTAAAATTTTAGAGACTTCTGTTATATGACACAGATACTATTACTATTTCGGTAAAGTTTAGACAGTCACTACAAAAAATTAAAGTTTTAGAGATCAAAATTTAGGGATAAAATTATTTTTTAGAGACCAAATATTTTTATTGCAAAAGTGTCATTATTATATTTTTAGCAATAAAAACATTAGTGATGAATTATTATCCTTTTGGGACCAAATTTTTTGTCTAAAAAAAAATATATCATTTTTAGACCAAATTATTGTCCCTAAAAGTCTATTTATTAGTGACATTTTCAAAATTTTGTCGCTAATGAAAAATCTAGAAATCCCCTAGATATTGATTTGTGATTATGTAACAATTTTAAGCAGTATATAACAATTCCAATCAAACAATCAAGACAAATCAACACAACGATTTTAACGTAGAAAAACCACAATTGGACATCTCCAACTGTGACTAAAAAACCACGGGCAACAGCCACAAAACAATCCACTAAGAAGATTTAAAGGAATTACACAGGTACACTCTCAATTACCTAGCGAATCCACGCCTAATTGAACAAACCTCTATGTGCCTCTTCTAACCCCGTCTTCACCTCGGAATTGTCTTTACGATGAGCCACTCTAGAATCCACCGAAGCTTCATGCTCGAATTCTTCAGAATCTACCGAAGAACAACTCTCTCTCTCTTTCTCTCTCTCTCTCTTGTGTATAACAAACAAAACCTTTGATGTACTCTCTTTAAACCATGAGTTGAACACTCAATAAAACATTAAAGAAAACTAACAAAATATCACCAGATATAAATCTTAAGAACCAAAAAGAAGATCTGGAGGAATTAAATAGTTTTGGGAGAAAACCAACTATTTATAGAAAATCCAAAAGTAATCCTAGTTTTGGAAGAAATCCAATTACTTATAGAAATCCAAAAGTAATCCTAGTTTTGGAAGAAAATCAACTTCTTAAAGAAATCATTGTCAAACGGGATTGCCAATAATAAAACCTAACAGCTAAAATTCTTGTTTTGGACTTTTCGAGACGACCTTTTGACAACTATCCTCCTGACAATAGAAATTGATTCCTAAATGTCTTTTGCAACGAAATTTTCACTTTTAGAGACCAAAATATTTGGTCTCTAAAACTCTTATTTGTTGTGGTATGAAATTGGAGAAGTTTGACTCAAAATTAAAAAGGTAAATTACAAATACACCCTCTGAGATTTGCTTAAAACAAGAATTGCCTCCTATGATTTAGAAAATTACAAATACCTCTCTGTCAGAATTTTTTATTTAACAGAATTAATTGTAAAAGTGAAATTTCTAGCTGTTCACCTATACAATAATAAAATTATCTGAATTATTAATTGAAATAAAATTTTAACATTATTAAAAACTGTTAATTAACTTGATGATTTATTAATAAAAGGACCTATTTGTTATACAATTAGAAACCTTAAGGGTATAATGTAATTTTTAGAACCACAGGGGGTAATTTGTAATTTACGTAAACCTCAGGGGTATGTTTGTAATTTACCCAAATTAAAAATTTAACCAACAAAAATTTAAGGGTAAATTACAAACACACCCCCTGAGATTTATTTAAATTACAAATTACCCATTGTGGTTCTAGAAATTACATTATGCCCCTTAAGGTTTCTAATTTCATAACAAATAGGTCATTTTATTAATAAATCATCAAGTTAATTAACAGTTTTTAATAATGTTAAAATTTTATTTCAATTAATAATTCATATAATTTTATTATTATATAGCTGAACAGTTAGAAATTTTATTTTTTCAATTAATTGTGTTACATAAAAAATTATGACAGGGAGATATTTGTAATTTTTCAAGCCACAGGGGACAATTTATATTTTAAACAAATCTCAGGGAGTGTATTTGTAATTTACTCAAAATTTATTTAAACTTGGTATATTAAAATGACACAAACTGTATATTTTATGGATCAGAGGTGTATATGTTATCCATCATTTTGACCAATTTTGAAATAAAATATTTTGCCTAATTGAGCTACCTTCTTCAAAAGCAATATATCATTTTTTTTTTTTATGTTTTTATTTTTTTTATGGGTATGGCTCCCTCCATACTCATATCCTCCATATTTTTCATACTTCATTTTTGGGTTTCATTCTAGGCTCACAATAATAATTTAAACTATTTATTTTGTAAATCTTACAATGAAGACCATTTGTATAAAAAATCAGTTTCATCGGATATTGATGAATACATAAACAAATCACTTTTTTGTTTTATAGAATGAAAAGTTTATGTTTAAACTCACAATTACTATCCATTTTAAAAAAACAAGATGCAATTTATTCATATATCTATTGATATCTGATGAGACTAATTTTTTGTATAACTCATCTAAATTGTTGAGATTACAAGATGAACGGTTTAGATTATCAATGTGGGTCTAGAATAGAATCCCAAAAATAAAATATAGAGAAGTATGAAGGATAGTCATTCTCTTTTTTTATATGACTAGGGTATTTGGCAATATATTAGTTGTTTCCATTAACTTCTTCATAATTATTTTCAAACAAAGAAGTCAATTATAAGTATCCATGTAGATGGTGATATAAAATGATAATAAAAATCAATAATATATAACATTTCTCATATTTTATACAGAGTATGGTTCCGAAGGACGAGTCTCAACAAGTGGTGATATATATAGCTATGGTATGATGCTTTTGGAAACATTCACAAGAAAGAAACCCACAGACCAAATGTTCTCTGCGGAGATCAATTTAAGGCAATGGGTGAGCACATCACTTCCCAACAAAATTATGGAAATAGTGGATGGTGGTTTATTGAGGATGCAAAATGGCAGAGACATGGTTGCCTCACAAAGCATTCTTCTTGCTATTTTAGAGGTGGGTTTGGAGTGCACCGGTGAGTTACCTGTGGAGAGGAGTGACATTAAGAAGGTTCTTGGCAAGCTCAACAAAATCAAAAAGCAATTCCTTCAATTCCAAAGTAATTGACATGCACATTGCACAGAACATGGTTCAATTAATCCTTTGTTTCAACTGTTGCTCTTTCAAACATTTATCAAAATATTTCTCTTGTTGATACGGTTAGTTCTTTTTCTTTCTTTTTTTTTTTTTTTGAAGTGAGGTGATTTTTAAAATAAAATATTGTTATGATTTGTAATAATATTGTCAGACTTTATATAATTTCAGTTGGATTTTAATTATAATAATTATTATTATTTGTTTTTTTCTTTTTTTTTATTATTTTATTTTATGTATGACATATAGATCTAAAAGTCCAAATGTTAGTCATTCTGTTTTGTGTTTTTAAAATTTGCTTTTGAGTTTTAAATTCGTGAATATATATATATATATATATATTTTGTGAACTTTTTAAATATTTTTTGTCAATTTTTTTCTTTCTTTTTTTCTTAAAATTTTTTTAGATCCACATAATCTAAACAACACTTAAAAAGTTTAAAATTTGTGAAAAAACTTTTAAAAAATTCACTAAATATTATAAAATACAAAAGAATACAAAAATCCAGTAAAATTTCATATTACTAATTTTTATAAGAGTTTTCTCAAATATTTTAGTTTTTAAGTACATCTAAATTAGATGCATCTAAAAAATTTGACTAAAATATTTTAAAAGTTCACTAAAAAAATGAATTGAAAACTGAAAAAGTGTTTATAAAAATTCAAAACCAAATAGAATGAATGATTTTGTTTATGATTTTTAGCCACATGATTTAATTGTATTTATCTTCAAAAAATAAAATAATATTTTTAAAATTATGCTTGTCATATATATATATTAAATTCAGTGTATATGTAATGTTGGGACCGAATTCCCAAGACCCAGTGATATCGCGTATAGATTAGGCCAAAAAAAATTATAGTGATCTATAAAACCCTACGAGGCAGAATTAGGGTTCATACTTTCAAGATCTGTTCGATTTGATATTGTTTAAATCCCGAACAGAAGATTGTAGTTGATAATTGCCAAATTCGGTTGCACCTTACAATCTTCTACCATGTGGGCTAAAAAACGTGAACTTCTTTACTTTCTCTTGAAAACTTGAAAAATTATGCTTTAGAGAGCTACAAGGACGTACACACACATATATATATATATATATATATTTTTATATACGCTACGGCATGAACCATTAGGAGTAGATTAGGATTAGGACTCCCTATGAAATTAGGAAAACTTATTCAACCTCAATTATAATCCCTAATTTCATAAATTAGAATTCATACCACTAAAGAATTATTATTGCACTTCCATCTTAATCTCCAAATTATATTTCGAGTTCCACATTATTAAATACTTATTTATCTCTTCACGTTAAGATTACTAATACCCGTCAATTAAATAAATTACTGACGATTATATTTAATCGACTTTTTAATAATTCCTTGAGACCTTCTACTTAACTTATTTGATATGGCAAATACAAAATCCACCTGCAAGGTTTGACATAATCAAAACTTATAAACTTCTTCAAGGGGGTATTATCAATCCCTAAACTGAGACGTGGATTCTATCAATAATCAATAACCATTGTACACATAAAGTGATCACCCAAATTGACCCATAAAAAATCTCACTCTTTTATGAATCAAAATGACCAACACTAAATGCACACGATTATTAATTATTTTCAGATTAAGAGCATAAGTACTTGTAATAACTATGTGATGTAAATTGTCTCGTCTAATCAATAGATGAACAATTATCCCAAGACGGTCATGCTCAATACACACAAAGCATACTAGCACAATGAGTTGAATTTTACTGTTTTCCGTAGTCAAGACAGACTTACTCAGACACCATGTTAAAGTCGTACCGATAATGTGTCCAAATCCATCTTAGATTATGCACCACTTATATTCTACAAGAATTAGTGATCCGATCTTCTGTGCGTAAGCCGTACTCTACACACCAGATCACATCCTTTGTAGAATAAAAGACACACATGCAAAATATTAAACAAATAATATAATGCAAATATTATTCATAATGATTCTCATTAAAATTGGAATAACTAATATTATTAAAACTAAATACTAAATCTCGTTATACAAAAACATGGCTTTTAATATATTTTTCTAACATATACGTATGTGTGTATTCGGCATTTGAAAAAAGTTTATTAAAAATTAAAAAAAAATTTAACAAAGTATTAAAAAAATTCACCAAAAATTTAAAAAAAAAAATACTAAAGAAAAACTCATTTTAAAAGCTAAATAACTAAACAAATTTGGATTTTGATTTTGGCACATTAGCGATTTCCTAGCCATTTCGATTAGCAGCAGGTTGAAGTTATTTAGTTGGTCAAATTGATTGAGTGTCGGGTCAGATTTGGAGTGGTTGCTGTGCGGCCAAATGGCCCATTTTTGGGGCTTATTTCGATAATCCGAACCGTTCACATTTTAGAATACGTCGAGTAGAATATATTTGTAAAAAATTAAGTTAATCGGATATCGTTAACCATTTCATTTACTCACATTTGTATTCATTTTAATACTTTAAATACAATTGTTATTTATTTTTGTAGATACAAATATGAATGGATGAAAGAATTAACGATATCCGATTAACTTGATTTTTTGCAGGTATGTTTTACTTTATATATTCTAAAATATGAACAGTTCAGATTATCGAAATGGGTCCATTTGACTGCATAGCAGCCACCCCAAATCCGTGTTGGGTTAGGAATCAACAACCCACTCCACCCAATTCGGCCAACATATAAAGATATAACAATGATACATCCTTCTAAAATTAGAGCTCTAATTGAGCTCTAGTGAGGTGGAAAATCAAAAAAAAAAAAAAAAAAAAGAAAGCCAAAATATCACATCAGATGGGTCCCACATACACATTAGAGCCATTAGAGCTCACAAATTAGAGCTCCAAAACATTTTAGATAAAGATAAGGAAAATGAGTGGGAGCTCTAATTAGAGCTGCCAATAATGATGTGGCAGTGGGTCCCACCCATTGCCACAGTATGTGTTGTGTCTGTTTTTTTATTCTTTTTATTTTTTTGGGGGATTTGGTCATAGTCCTCTCACTATCTAATTTTTCTTTCAAAAAGACAAGGATTATATAAGTACTTTCAAAACCCCCTGATATTTTAAAACTTGTTTCTTTTACTATATTACCCTCATATCTATCAGCTCTCCTATTAAGACATTTTCACTATGTATTTCAGAGTAAAATTTTACTCTGTATGAAAGTAAAATTTTACTATGAATGAGAGTAAAGTTTTACACTCTGAAACTAAAAGTAAAATTTTACTTTGTATAAAAGTAAAATTTTACTCTGAAAAATAAGTAAATTGTAAGACTCTGAAGCTAAAAGTAAAATTTTACTCTACATCATTCCCTCTACATTTTCACTATGTATTTCAGAGTAAAATTTTACACTCTAAAACTAAAAGTAAAATTTTACTCTGTATAAAAGTAAAATTTTACTCTGAAAAATAAGTAAACTGTAAGACTCTGAAGCTAAAAGTAAAATTTTACTCTGGTTCTGTCAAATGAAAAAAACAGAGCAATAGAATTTTACTCTGGTTCTATCAAATGAAATTTGATGTTTACTCTGAAAAATCGATGGAACTTTGAGCTTTGAGCTTTGAATCAGGCCAATAATCCTTGAATCAATCGATGTTTACTTTGAAAAACATTGAATCATGCCTATAGTCTGAAAATTTTAGAGAAATCTCAATTTTTCATACCCCGGTTCTTCAGATTTTTCAGATTTTTAAAACTTTGAGCTTTCAAAAATCTATATATTCGAATTCAAAATATATAAATATATTTTCTTTCATGCTAAACTTTTATTCATGTTCACTTAAACATGATTTTCTAAAACTTCTTTATACAAATATAATCATTTACAATTTATAAAAATAAAAAAATTAGATCAAACAAATTTTTAATCTCAAATTAAAATAATTAAAAAATCAAAAAATATATAGATATATATATATATATGTATTAGCGCGATTTGCAAGTTCTCCACAGCTCCGGCCATGGAGGAAGCTAGGATTAGAAGAGAGAGACGAGATAGAAGATGAACAGTTGAAGGAGAGTTGAAGGAGGAGAGTTGAGAAGATGCAGAGAGAGATCGTCGGAGCTTAGGAATGACATAGCTCCGGCCATGGAGGAAGCTAGGGTTAGAAGTGAGAGACGAGAGAGAAGATAAATTTTGTATCTGGATTGTGTATATGTGAGGGTATAATAGTCTGATAAAATATTTAAATAATAAATTTTGCCCTTTATGCAAGATTTTATAATTATGAGGGGGTTTAGAAAGTATAATTTTTTTCTTAGTCCTTCTAACAATGAAAGGAAGGTAAAAGGGGTTTATAGCCAAATTTCCCTATTTTTTTTGCTTTTCCACCTCATTAGTGGTGGGTTTAGAGTCACCAAATTAGTGATCTCCAGTATGATTGTAAAGATAATACACATTTTTCAAGCACGCATCTATTTTTTAGTAGCCTAAACATGAGTAATAGGACTCATTAAATTAATATTGAGTGGCTAGGAAAAAAAAAAATCAATATAGAGTGACACAAGAAAGGATATATACATAATTATATTTTTCATAATATTACTATTTGGTTAATAATAGTTCCATCAAAACATCTATTTGCAGTAATAACATAGCGAGAAATGTGAAATAATAGCAATTTTAAAAATTGTTAATTCAACGAAAAATATCTAAAGTAAGATTCGTCTGTAAACTCGTTAATTCATAAAAAATATCTAGAACAAAGATTCAACAATGATTGATTTTCAAAAAAAAAAAAAATACTTAAAGTTGAAACACAGAGTATAAAAAAATTGAAGAACCCTAAAGCTTACAAACAGTATTTATTCGTAAAGGCAAACCTAACCTAGTAAGAAACAATTAGAATTAGTAATTTTGTAGTGAGTAAAATAAAAATAAGAAAATATAACAAAAATTATCATAAATAAAAAAAAAACTACTAATATATGCTAATACGATAATGACAAAATTGACGAAATGGAATTCCAAGGCCTACGCTAGGAGTAATGGAAGTTACAAATATTTACAAATATTTTCAAAAACCACAAATTCCCAAAATTGAAGGCGTAACGATGAAATTTTTCCAATATTTGCTGGGGAC